CATACAGATAATGCGATATAACTAGTTGTCAAAATCTCGGACAGTCCTTTAATCCAGATAAATGGCACTGCAGCTGTCCGAACAGACAACTTATCAAGTTGGCGCATTAACGTGAGGTACAGCGTCGCATGCCCCAAACGTTCATCCTTTGTGCGCTTATATTAATTTTAATCATATATATGCTCTATAGTTCTGATACTCGGTATTTTTGAAGATGATTTTCTAGGTACTTTTGATGACGGTTCTGATGAACTTTTCCTAATCAGTTGTGCTCTTATCGAATAATCTCTATAATCGAAACCTTTTCTGAGTTGACTGCTGAATTTTGGTTACGCAGCATTTTTTCGTTCATGCCAAGTCCTCTCAGAATTTACGTTCCCTTGAGCATTTGTTCGCAGTAATGCTTGGGATTCTCATAAACGAAGCTGAATTATCGTTTGTTTAGAGGGTAAACCGCAAAATGCTTAAAATATAATAGTAATTTTTAAGTAGTCTATCGGCTCTTGTTATAGTTATTTAGAATAAACAACATCGTTTACCTCAATTTTATAGCCTGTGTTGTAACGTCGAAACGTTTTCCAAAAGGTTAGTGCCCAGTTCATGATATTTTAGTCCCTGTATTTCACTGATGTATCTTGCATCATTTTTTTATTACGTGCCTGCTGTACAGCGCTCTACTCTTCCTTGCTCTAGGGAAACAGAATATGAAAGGACAGCCAATCATAAGAAATATGAACTCAAACTAGTGCATCAGGGTTTCGCCCCTGGGTCGTCAACGCGGTGGCCCGAAGACATTCTGATTGCATCAACGATACTCCGTTGAACTAAACTTGCATGATGGGTATCTTGTTCGTCCTTAGTGATATTTCAGGAACTGGGTCTGATTATAAACGTTCCAAAACAAAATATTTAGTTATTTTTGTCGTAGTCAATCACAGATTAATTTTTGCACGGTCGATTGGTTACCTCTGTACCTGAAACTGCTGATAAGCAGATACTCACTGTATGCTAAAGCAGTAATCTGATTTGACTTAACCTGCATGACTATACGCATGTATTTGGTAATGATGTTATTGCGAGTTTTCCTTACATTCCTTGTTTACATCTGGACACCGCGTATAAATATTGCATGGTGGTGATCAAGCAACAGAGGCAGGTGCTGCACCCATTGAACATTCACTTGGTGCGAGCGCTGGATTTCGCTTTCGACGTGTGCATCGAATTACAGAAGTGGCACTACGCGGCGCAGTTCGGTCTTTTCACGCTCGCCGCTTATAAGTATGATATCGTATCGCATACATTCGTCTATTCTTTTTATATTGGCTAAAGTTTGTTGCAGATCTTACTATCCAGCGAATCATCCGTTGACCGGCCTGCAGTTGATGAAGATTGGCAAGATTCTGCTCTACAATGGCGAACTCGAGCAGGCGAAGAGTCTGCTGTGTCAGGTGATCCGTCGTAGTCTTTTGACCTGTTCGCATGCGCTTAGTTGACGATCGATAACTGAAGTTTCAGGCGTACAGTATTTTGACCGTCACTCGCGGTGCGGACCATCCTTTGTGCTGTTCGCTGGTCGACATGATCACGCAATGCGAAGGAGAGATGCATTCACGAGGAATACAAAACTAAGTCTGCACTTTCTGGTTTATGTTACTGTTTTCCATGATTTTTGCCACTTTGACGTTGATTCCTGATCGTTTCCTCAGCACTGAGAAAAGAGCGTGCTGAAACTAGAACATAAAAAAGCTTGACAGAAATAAACCTTTGTACAGCTCATTGAATAGCTTGTTTTTGTGGTTAGAGTAGCAAATTCCATTAATTCCATTAAGATTTACGTGCTGTAAAATATACAAGGTAAGGTAACCCACTAAACTGCTTTGTGTTTCGACTACACATTGTAGTCCTTTCCGGCCATTGTAGTTTTGACTAGTAAATGAACGTTTTGAGTTGTAGATAAAACTGTTGCCATATGTGTATAGGCCGATGAGGACAGTGGATCTATGATGGAAATAGAAAATATTTCCCTCGAGACTTCGGTATAAAAGAAATCAACACGCACCGACCACTACTTGAAATACGCTTTATCCGTGCCACAATAACAGAACAAATGTGACAAGAAAAATATCTGATCGTACTTATTCTGTGTATACAGCGCGAAAAGTCGAAATAAAACTCTTGGTGGCGTTTTGAAATGTAATGGATGTTCCTGGGGCTTCTTCCAATGGTCAGCGAAGATGCCCAACAGCAAAAGACAGATCTGGATACAGTAACATTGATCTACATGTCCTTCATTCGTAGTCTAGAAACTAGAAATGATATATGAAGACTGGCGCCAAACATAAAGAAATTCTGATTGTACCTGACAAATAAAGCTGCAGTCTAACTAAAAATGTCAATCGGTCGACGACAAAGTAAATTTTCTAGTTTTTTGAAGGCGAGACTCAGTCTGAGTAAGCAGTAGTTTGTGCACTGTTGAAAGACGGCATTACTACGATGTCTTACACAATGCTACATTTGTCGAACACTACGTAGCTACTTTCGTTATTGGTTTTGGCGTGTGATGTGATACTCTACTAATTTTCTTGAACCAGGTGTTTCCAATGAAAATTTCCCTCGTCTCTGTTGTGGTTGCTAGTGTTTTTCTTCCTGTTTCATTTTCCAAAGTCGAGCTACCAACGAACTTTTTCGTCTTCCGTCGCTCCACCTTGGCGTTGAAGTCTTTCGTAGCGAAAGTGTATGGATTTTTGAGGTAGTATTTCCTCAGACTCATAGTAGAATCTTCCACATCATCGCTTTATAGAGCACTCAGAGGTGATGACGAGCCAACATGTCTTGAAGACCATTGCTTTCTGATGATAAACCCTACTCTTCCAATGGCTTTGCGCCTTCTTATCGTAAGCTTATGATGCTGCTGTCCATCCATTAAGTCTCTAACTCCTCGTTTCTTTGTTTCATACAGATTGACTATGTCGTAACTTATCTTTGACTTCTTTGATATCAGATAGTTGATTCTTATCTCAATATTGTTCTGCAGTCGTAGGTGCTTACGTAAGAAAAAGTTTTGCTCATTTTCCTTTTATAGGCCTGACACTTGAGATTTTTAGCAGTCAGTCTTCAGTCGAACTCCGCACCGCCACCTACTGATGGTCTAAGAACGCGTAAGGTACTGAGGCCCATCTTTATTTGTTGTCTTAGTCATTATCAGCTACTAACTGGCTGAGCTGGCAGTGACGTGCTTTACCTCCAAAAACTTGGCTGATTTTCCACCTCGAAGAAACCTCGGTTCTTTCCTGGACTTGGCAGCTTAATACCTTGATAGCATGGTCGAACCTACCAGAGAATACACTTGTCATCACCTCTGTCAAAAAGTCAGGGTCAATGCTACCTTGTGGTAAAATTTTACTATTTTTAGTCACTGATAACCACTTTGATCAAGAAACTGACTATTGCATTTTGGTGTAACCAGCCCAAAAGTAGGTACCGACTCGTTAAACACTAAGGACAGCATTTAACTGTGGTACTGTCACGTAAACATCTAATAAATGCGCCTTATGGCTGCATTTACTTATAACCTTCTGATAGCTAACTAAAGCATAAGGTGCGAAGTTAAATATACTTAGCCCTTACTGCCAATGGCAATTTTATAGCAGTTAATTTGTGATATTGTCAGTGTAGTCCAGACAGAATTTATTGGGCCTTAATGAATAGAGAACTATTTCGCAATTAAAACTTTAGCCTCCTCTGTCACCCACTCAATTACAGTAAAAAGTATTGAACCATGTCATACGGATGGGGCGGTACGTTACAGAACTGTCGGAGACCGCGCTGAGTATTTATACCACTGCTGCTCTACTGCTTAAGTATTTCTTAGGTATTACGACCGTTTTGTACACTATCTATTAGCAGCTTGAACTTTAGACAAGTGCAAGTGCCGAGGAACAAAGACAGTTGAAAAGTTTGAGTATATTTAATTCTGCAAAAGCCGCCTTCCAAAAAACATCGCTGTAGCCTTCAATGAAATACAAGTCATATTGTCATCAAAATGTCTAGTGTAGCGGCGATGCCGTCATAAGTGCTCACAGACTGTAAAAAAGCATGTTAATCTTATACACTTCAGTGTACAAATGTAGAGCGCTGGGTAAAAAGCCAGTATGAAAACCAAACGTGCTCAATCAACGACGACGTAATTACGGCATGACTGTCTGTTTGGTGCAGAAAACGACAGGTGTTTCATATCCCATTGCTAGTTGAGCGTTCGCGGATGAGCTATTTATGAATCCCTCGCAGGCATTGCGGCCCACAACGAACGTTCGATCGATTGACTTAGGGCTTAGCTAATGTTCTGAGAAGCGTGAAAGAACGAGCGTGCCAAACGCCGCAGAGCATCAAGGACGTAATCACGCCACGTGTTTACAAATGGAAATGGAATTTACACGGTAAAACAATAGCTGCCAGCCAAGTCCACATCACGTCACGTCTTGTTAAGACTGAACTGTAGTTTCGGTCTAGTGCCGGCCCTGCCAAGGATAACGCTTTGCTCACGCTTCATCAACTTTTCCCGCTGCTTGCGGATGTCAGCACGGTCTTCCTCCAATTTTCGCTTTGTTTCGAGCATATCAAGCCGTTCCTCATCCTACAAAATAGCGGAAACATCTGAAACGAGAACACCTAATAATCAGAAAATACTCACTAGTTTTCGGCGCACTACCTCGATCTCTTCCATTTTTAGCTTTAACTGCTTCTCCAGCTCTTCGCACTTTAACTTGCAGTCGGCCTGAAAAACGAACCATGTGAACGAACATGTGAGCCAGGTGATCGAAACGACTTACAACAATGCTGACCTACGCCTCGTCCATTGACGTGCCTGATTTTATCGCTCACTATTTAGGTCGAGATGAAACTACTTACTGCAAGCAATAATCGTTCGTGAAGTGATTAGTAGGGTAGATAAATGCGCTTGAAAAGACTACCGTACTTGCGGCTGAACAACTTCCAGGTGATGATCAAAAACATCTGAAACTTCACGTTAACAGCTGTCACCAAGAACCATGCCACGAATGCAACACTACTACAGACGGGATTGCAAAACCACCATACCACACTTCCACAAGAGAAAGAGTAAAGTTATTTACAAATAGCAAATTTTATCGGGTAGCCGGTTGAATGTATGACGTTATCAACGCTGTATAGCATAAGCATGAAAGCAGCAGCGGGGTCTTTCTATACGATACATTATCATGGGTGGTACATGGTGTTGATTCTTGTCCTTAATCGGACACGCAAAATAGAATCGACGCTACTTCTTTACGGGAATTCGATATTGTCGCCAGGGCCAAGCTTTCTCTGCAGCACTTGATTGCTAATGCTTGAATTCGATAAATGCCCACGAATAAGATATGGAAACAGAAAACGAATATGGGATATACAACTGGAATACACGAAGACTTAAAAATGATATGTCAAGCGATTACACTGAGTCTCAGAGCGCTTACAAAGCTAAGCTCATTTACAGAGTTCATCAAGGCTGCCTAGAGAGGAAGTAGCGTTGATGCAACAGTCGTTAGGCAGTTCAGCCTTGGCCAGGAACGAAATACCATCTCATCGGATTGAGCATGGTTCAAAGAACCGGAGTCTCGTCGAAATGGAATGGCGAATTTAAATTAAATTTCTTCTGACGCTGATCGATAAGCATCTGAAGGTTCAAAAATACAGATCCAGCAATGAGTAACTACGCTTATTATTACTCATCGATGCTAGTGCCGTGCATCGAACGGCACAAGTCACACCAGACAGTCTTCACAACAGCAATACAACAAATTTACAGACATCCGGCAAAACGTGCAAAACACTAGAATTCATTGATATTTTATCAACCATTAGTATAGGCTTGTGAAAGGGGGCATAAGTTTTAAGAGGGATGTGTCTCAAATGGCCCTGATCCTGTTAGTCGAACAAGCTGCACGGAATGGATTGCAAAGCATGACTATGGCAAGTGTTTGAGTTGTAATCAGTCGCCAGTTAAGTGGCTCTGCAAGGGGAATCTGCCCGGTGGTTTCCTATGTTTGCATCCAGATCACGTACCTGCAGTCGGCGCGAAAATGAACGTTCGATCTGGAAAAACGGCGACTCACGGACGAGAATATCCTGGAATTTGGTGTTTTGACACTTATCAAACCTCTTCATGTCGATAATTCTTTGAGAGCACCTCAGTTCTACCGCTTGTATTTGTGATCGTACTACAGGTAAATATTCAGCAATGACGATATATGAGGGTTGGCGCAGACAGACTTCTAGAGAGCTTCGCATTATTGATCCTTACTTTCTTCATACCAGAGAACTGGTTTAGCTCTTGGGCGGTGCGTTCATCTGGGCAGTTTGTTTGTCTAATTCCATGTTCTGCCTGCAGTCACGCGTCAACGCTAAATCTATCTACTCATACTTTCGAAATTTCCACAACTGCACTTCATTAACTAGCAGAACACAATCGATGAAAACAGTGCACAACCACGACTGCAGTCACAAATCTTCGTTTCACGAGGAAGTGAAACAATGCACACTGAAAGTCAGCATGGAAGGAAGCAACTATGAGGAGGTCATCTGTGAACAGCAAATGAATCAAACGAATATTTCCAACAAAATCATCACGCATTTCGAAAAGCACTGAATTTCCCTCTTATTAGTAACAAACCAGAAATGGCATCGTGATAAGTTAATGGCCACAATAGCTGGCCATCTACCCCATATTCTCGAATACTTTTCACATGACTGTTCATCAACCATCTTAAAGTCGAAGCATGTTCAATATTTTTTTTAGAGGAGAGAAAAATCTGACTACTGGGCGGTAGCCGGGGTGAAAGAGGGGGCATTGCACACCCTGAATTTCTGTTCCTTACATTATAACCCTATTAACTCATTTAAATTTAAGTTTTAAACTCATTACTCGAATTCCTTACACGAATACACAGGATTTAATCACGAAGGTCATCAAACAGTTTACCACATAGCATACAAATTTTAATTTTATCAAATATTTCAGATATAGCTTGATCCGTGGTCATAGGGCAATACAACAGTATGCGAAAACGTCTACGTGTCGCTGTATACTTTGAAGCGATCTTGAGACTTAAGCACGAACAACCAAATCTTGATTACGCATTGAAACTGATGCTGATAGATGTAGATAAAAATCTGCAGGGTCTTACTAATCAGCTTCTTCGTTCTCTTCGAAAAAATGACGTCATCACCCGTTGTATTTGCTCAGACATTCGTATGCTGTATCAGGAGCGCTATTTTATTCTTATGTTTTTGTTAACTTCCTTTGCGCGTACCTCTTTCATTTCTTCCCAATCAATGAGATGAGCAGAGTTCTACCGAAATGAGGTACTTTCATTATTTTCATTCTCATTTACTTCAGTAGGGTCTTTCATATGCTTTCCTCCATACAGTTTTTGATTTTATTCATTATCCTCCTAGGTTCGGATTATGCCACCTTGTTAGCTACGAATGGAAATCGAAGAAAAAAAACTAAAGGAGGGTGAAAAAATCAAAATTAAGAAGGATGTTTAGCAAGGCGATTGGATATATCGAAAGTTGTACACTGTCCTAGATAAAAAATACTAACGGCGAAGTCGCATAGAAAAAGCAAAATCAGACTAGAACGACCAGAAAATATACGTGTTCGCGTAGCTGACCTTAATCTCTGTGATTTGAGGACAATATCTTCATAGTAGAAAAAAGCCCTGATGAGCTATAAGCAAAGACGGAAGAATGACAAACTGCAAATATATAAGAAACTTGGAAAGCAAGTTAAAAAAAACTCATTTCATATTCAACCAATGCGTCCTGCAAGAAATCAAAAAAACAATGATTGACGAAGTCACAGCTAAGCTGAACTAAGACAATTTATCCTGTAAACTAGCTGGTCGACATAAACAAGAGGGCAAAATGATCTGGAACGACTCTGAAAATTCGATATCATTCTGAAGTGAAAACTGCCTTTGCGCCTGACAAGGAAGGAGTCTGATCAACTAATACGGTGGACATTCACCTACGCATGTGAGAACTTGGTTCCGAACGTAAGCTGCACATTGAGCAGCGAAGAACAGAATGCTGCATCTTACGGACCACAATAGGGAGACAATAAGAATGGTACTCAAACAATGCCACATGACTATTAAAGGACGAATCTGAAATGGTCAAGAGCTGAACGTGCTTCAAGAAGGATTACAAGAACTCAGAATCAGATTCTAAGAAACGATCGAAGGTAAACCACAGGTGCGAAAGCAAGAAGAAATATATGTTTGCCGTCTGGATCTGCATGCCGGATGTAAAAGACAAGGCATAGTGCAAACGTCTGGAGAGATGTCTGTTCATCCAAAAGTGAATACAGAATAAATGACGATAGCATTCGACTCAAAGCCTGTGCATAACTGCTGGAGACAGCGTGTAGTGTGGTTCTTCCTTCGCTGGGAATCAGTGGCACTGAATTACGAAGGAAAGTGAAATTTTTATCCCCTATCACAATCGGATCGTTTAGTCTGCAGAGGATCAGCCTCACAATCGAAACATGGTGAGTTCGAACGCTAACCGGTTTATTGGCATTTCGAGGCAGACAAAATGCAGATACGCGAGGACCACTTCGTGGGAAGGAGAACTGACCTGTGCTTCCGCATGGCGGAAAACAAGGAATTTCAGGTCGGAGACATGGAATCGAAGAACCGCGGCACCATAAGCGATGTGAAAATGAGATCAGAGCGGCTCTCCTGATGGAAATGCAAAAAATATCGACATCCAAACTGCTGCGAACTTTAGTGCTTTCCTTCACAGCGTCTGATTATGGTAAAATGATAACCTCCCTCAAAATGGTTCGCATGGCTAGGCCAAAACAAGTCGCCCGCTAAGGAGTGAAAACACCCTGCACACTAGGATGCATCCAAGAGTCTTCCATCTCAAGCTTAATGAAACACTTCGTCAAACGTTACCTCAATTAAGGAAAGCAAAAAATGCACAACTAAAGAAGCCAAATTAATGAACTATGCATATCCCAGAAACGATAAGATAAAGGTCATAAGCATAAGCATTAGAGAAAAGTTTGCTATATCGTCTGCTGCTAAAGCAGCTTCTTAAAAACTGATTCTTGTAGAAAATACCATGTAAAAGTAAAAATCCCTCGTTGAAGGTAAAAATTTAAAAAAAATTCCCTGATTACATCGAATCACTACAAAAAGCAGAGTCTAAAAAACATTTTCACCGTTTGCTTCAGCAGTGTGTCCATAAAGCGGTGGCAAAATTGTTGCCAGAACAAACTGATCTAAATCGCAGCAGTTGCGCATACACTGAACAACCATTAATAATGATGAGTGGGGGAAGAATGGCTATCGAAAATCTCTGAAATTCTCGAAGTTTTGCTTAAGTACACTGTTATTATTTCGAGAACACTTTTAGTCTACAAAACGTAACGAGTATTTTATATCACTTTTGTTCGTATTTGTGCCGTTATCGGTGACTGTGAACAAACTAAGTTAGCATTAACGAATACAAGATCAAGAAGAGTTTCAAAAATTACTTAAAAAAGCATGTTTTCACTTTTTTAATTAAAAAATAGTAGGGGCGTAGAGATGGAATCATTGAGTAGTTCCAGTCCCAAAATTATAAAAATTCCATAGTGCGTGAAAATCGCCCTACTGACGAGACTCACGCAACGTGCGTAGAGGCATTTCACAATTTGTTCATGATGTCCATGAAGATTTGAAAGAACGGTAGTATTTTGATACGGCCATATTGCATTGGTTATGTCACGGGCTATAAGAGTCGACCGGTCGTGGTATTCAATGCGTGCATGAAAAAAATCTGGCAAAACCAGAGGTCAATGACAAAACCATGCATTCCGTCAATCAACTGAAAAATAACAAATAATGAGCGTAAACGAGAGTGCCACTTAAACCAAATAAACGCAAGCTAATTTTAATAGTGAAAATTTTATTAATGAACACTTAGTTTCTTCTTCGTTTATGTATATGCAGCAACAACACGCATAAGAAGGGAGGCGGAACATAACTTATATGTTATCAGGTCCAGTTATTAGAGAGGGACTTTCGCTCGTGTGTTGGTGCTCAAACTAAAAACAGCATTAAACTCAAACTAAAAAACGTGACACGATCCGAAATGTCGGCATTGTTTATCCGACTGAGCATATAACTTTCTGATTTGTGCCTTGATAAACCGTGTTTGTTGCTGTTTTCAGGTAAGTCAATATGACAAAATTCGACCTTAACATGGCATGTGGCAACGTTATTTTCGATGCAGATCGGAGTCGAATATAAGAAATAAAAAACAATGGCGAGAACTTGCCTCCCTGCGCTGACAGGCGAAGATTTCTGCCTTCAACTCCATTTCGATTTGACTTCGAATCTGGATTTCGAGATCATGTTTCGCAGCAAGAACACGCTTTACCAGCTCAGCTTCCATTTCAGCTGTTTTTTCCTTCATTTGTTCAGCGACTCGCTCGCGCACGATCTCCTCGATCGAACGCGCTGACTCCCCCCATGAACCACCGGGTTCTTCGTCGATTGCCTGATGCGGTTCAGAATAGCGCGGTGATGCAGAAGACAGCTTTGGCACAGAACTCGACATTTCGCGTTCCTTGGAATGCCTTCTGTTTCTAAAAGTGCGCCCTTTAAACAAATAGCGACATTACGTCGACAGACATCACCATTCTCAGACCACGTACTTACCTGGCCGCATCGACAACCTCCAATTTTGCGAAACAAACTAGTCGATGTGCATGTTAGTTCAGCCGGCATGAAAGACGACAGCTTTCGAGCGCCCATCCTGCTAAGCGGTGAAACACAACGAATGTCATCACCTCAAGCACAGATTGATCTCCTGATTACAAGTGTATCAGCCTCAACACGCAAAAAGGATATTTAAAAATTTTCCCGGTTATACAGCAAGTGTGACGCCGATTATCAAACAGTGGGATCTATATGTTTACTTAACATAATGCACGCTGCCAAGTTATATATTGCTAAGGAAGGAGCTACCA